GTGTAGAGCCACACACTGTACAAAACAACCCAAGAACTTCACCCTCACAGGTGTTTTCACTTATTGTGGCTGATTAGACCTTAGAGCTTTTTGACTAATGAGAGAAGTGTAATGTTTTCACCCTAAAGCTGCTGTCAGACCAAAACCTGGTGAACCTTTCACCTTGTGAAATATATTTTACGTGGGGTGGCCAAAAGCAGGGGGGACAGAAAATACAGTGGGCAGGGTGGCAAACATACACTCTGGGAGGTAGAGTGGCTTGCAGGCAAACAAAAACAGTTCATAAAGTTGTAGTATACAGCGTTTTATCACTTTGCTGTCTTCTCTCCTTGCTCTTACTACAGCCAGACAGCATCTTTCCTACTGCTTGTATTATTTTGCCATACAATTATAAATCAAGAATATAAACAGTCATTATGTTCTGAATGAGAGGTCAATCTCGCCCCTTCTCTCAAACTGGCTGGACATTGGAGAGCGATTTCAAAAAAATAAGTTATAATAATCATCCACTTATAATGATCGATTTGACCAGGACAGATGTGATCAGATGCTCCGTCAGCTTTTTCCACTTTCATCTGTAGCCTTTAGGTCATACCACTCTAAAAAAGCCTCTTTATCACTCAAAAAAAAAGTTGGATTACTCATCAGTGTCCTTATAGCCTGTTGAGAAATGTAATGTACCTCGGTTATCAGCTGACTGGCAATATACCCCATCCCACAAAGGTTTTATTGGGGTAACCATGGCAACCCTGAAACATAATGACTTTTCCTTAAATTTCATCCGCTGTGTTTCATACATGTGCCTGCAGGCATTCAGCAGGCTGCTATAGGCAATGTGCCTCTAAATGTGTGTAAATTATGCTGCCCAGAGACACCAGATTAAAAAGCATTTCGATAAATCACCGACATCACATAATCGTGTTTTCATGTCTGTTGGTCCTGTTAAATAGATCAACAGAGCAGAGTAAAGGAAACTTGGGGTGCGTCTTTACCTGGGAAGTAGAGACGCTGAAAAATTATCTTTTTCTTTTCTTTTCTCTTTCTTCTGAATAACAAAAAAAAGTATGAGATCTTTAAACTTGACTGTTAGATACCTATTTTTTTTAGAAAATAGGAAATAAGTGTATTGGAGAACTGATTTATTTGATAAATGTGACTAAGTGTTGCGGAGCACTATCTGAAATTGCTTTCTACTACTGAGAAAAAGTAGCACGTTTTTGAGTCGATATTGCAAGTGTATTGTCTGATTTCTCTTTTCCTGTAGCCAAATTCCATTTGACCGTTTAAAACTTGTGGACAGCTGAAGCACAGCAAACATTTCCACTTTCTCACCTTAATGGATTCTCTGCTCCTGTTTTATTTGTCTGCACTGTGTGGGTATTTAAACCACAGTAAGCACTTTGGCCCGTCACAGTGGCTGTGAAGGCATTAAGCAACATAAATGGCTTACTCCTTCATGTTGTGGATTCCTGTCTGTGTGTTGCTGTAGAGATAAGTAGTCTTGGATGTAAATTCAGAGAATGAGGACAAGCAAAGTGCTTAGACACATGTAATGGAGTTAACACGGCTGTGAGGGGAAGCTTAAAGTTGGTACATCTGTGTTTGTGCATGTCAAAAAGAGAAAGGAAAAGGGAAATGTGTACCTGCACCAACACATGCAGGTGTTTGTATTGGTTGCACAGGCACAGATTAAAATGAGTGGTTTTCTTACACTTGGGAAATTAATGTGGCTGCCCAGTATCCCTGGTGTTGTATAAAGAAAACATAATGACGTTTGCCGTGGTGTGTATGTACTGTATTATGTGGGCTACAGTGTGTGTCATGCTCTGGTGTGTGTATATTATGCGTCATTTTCTCCATTAGCTGTGCAAGCTGTCATTCGTGTAACATTAACACCATGCTGGGACCTTTTCCTCTCCCTCGCCTGTTCAAACACACTAGAGGAAATTTGGTCTTAAATGAGATGCGCTACAGCTGTATTAGCTATAATCTCAGCCAACTACCATCACTCTGAGGGTGTTTGCAGGCTGCATGTCGCCAGTTAAAACGCAGCTACGAAGAGGCAGATGTACTGGTGGCAGCGAGCGCAGAGTGATGGTTTAATGCAGTGCACACACAAACGGACACACACGTCCACAGATCCTTGAAGGCAGGTCTACCAGTAGCAGGTGGGAACCCCAGGATTCGGTAATGGGACAGTCCTGATGGATCACTTGCCTGACAGCCTGCAGTGTTCTCCTGAATAAGAGGCCAACATCAGCAGAGGGCAAATGAGTTTTAAATCACCTGTGTAACCCTACGCCCTCATACAGCCTATTTCCCAAGATGCTGTAGCACACAGGGCTCCGATGTGATTTACTAATATGAATCAACTCGTGAATTCATCATGTTTCCAACCTTTCTAATCAGTGTTTCTGTTTGAATACTGAGTTTTGCAGCCACAACACCGGAGAGCTGAATACATCACAATTTTCATCACAACTAATATGCATGTTAATGCTTTAATAGAGCTTGTAAATAGCTTCGAAGCTTTTAGCACATCTATCATAACATACTTTTCTCATAGATATTACCTACTTAATGTTTCAAAATGTTCTACAGCTAAATAATATTCCAAATACAGTCACTTAAAGTCTGGATCTTAATTTAACAGATTAATTATTCTGTCAGTAAAGCCAGTTCAAAACAAACCGGAGGGGAGCACTGGATATATTACCCTGCTAATTTAACTTGCAATTAGAAGTTTAAGAGTGCAAAGAGGATTGCTTATGCTTATTTTATTTTTTTTTAAACTGTGAAACATTTCCAGATATACTGAAAATGAAATTTATTTTGGTCAATTAGAGGATTACACAAACTATTTGGGAGAAAAAAAAAACAGCAAAAAATGTAAATTTCCCCCAACAAAACAATGCAGTAGCGAACAATGCAACATAAATACAATAGTATTGCCATACAATTGAACACGACTCTTATCGAACATATTTATACATTTTATATTTGTTCATTAAAGTGTGCTAAACATTTTAATTCCATACCACTGAGCAAATGTTGGATACTATCAGGTAGTAATTGTAATTGATTTAATTGATTTTTCACACCTATTTAAATACGAGGATTCTTACAGAAACAGTTTGACTAAATTAGATTTACATATCATTTGGATGTTTTAAAACATCACTCTCAAGGCTCGGATGATGTTTGGAGTTACATCACAGAATCCAAATTTAATCCCATTTTAGAGCCTCAATTGGTTGGTCGGTTTTGAGTCCGACTTGTGACTGTTTGCTGCATGTCGCCCCTTCTCTCTCTCCAGCATGTCCTGACTCTCTCCAACTGTTCTATCTCATTCTAGGCAAATGCCCAAAAATAAAATATGTTTCATCCTTTTTTAAAAGTACCTTTTATAGATTATTTGATTTTACAGCTGTGATGTGATATGTGAAGATTAATATCGGTCATTGACTTTTTAGTAGCTGTATAAAAAAAGTCACATATTATTGACTGTACTTAGCTGTACTTGATGATTTGACTGAAGAGATTACAACTCATCCACCTATTTGACTGAAATGCTGACTGCTAATAAACAGACTCAGGGTTCATAAAAATTTATAGATGACAGGCCCTTCAAGAGAGATGTACTGTATGCTTGTACCACACAGGTACACAGGTACTGAGTGTCTGATCAACCTTACAAAGCCAATTATTAAAGACATCACAGAGGAGATGGGTGGTGGAAATGATTTATTGCAAAGACGGTTATTTTTTTCCTTTTCATGTCAAAGCTACATGAAATGAGCCACCTTAAAACGGTCTGTTCAGAGCCAATTAAAGTGAAAATGCCAAATGAAGGTTATCCTTCAAAGTTGTTTTCACAACCTGGGGTTTTTTCTCAAGGATATCCAGGACATTACTATACAGCTTTGCTTGGATTTGTTTTATCTTATAGTAAAAACCTTATCAATATTCTAAGTCAGTGCTAGAGGACCTAGAGATGTTTATGGTGATAAATAAAACATTATGACGATTTTATTCCTTCCTGAACACATATCTGTAGCTGGTCTTTTAAACTCAAGGATACCTCAGAGGAACATATGTATGCTGACTTTGAATCTGTTCTGTCTCTGGGTGACTTAATGCAGCAATTTTCTGCTGTCTGTGTCCAAAACCACCCACTCCTTTACTTATTCACACTTATTCACTACATAGTTTACTCAAAATTAAGCAGTAAATTGAGATTTTGTATACTAATCATCGTCTTTTTGTTTCACTGCATCTATAAAATGCAAAGCACTGTATTGTGGGATTGTTAGCTGTAAATGTAGTACACATATAATAAATATAGAGTGATTTTTGACAGGGTGATGCTGTGGGACCCGCTCAGATGGAATTGAGCCAGCCGACAAATGAAAACAGGAAGCTTAATGTTTTGTTTAGAATTATTTAGATTTATAAGAAAGTAAAAATGTCAAATATAATATAACATAAACTAAGACACAGAACCAAAATGCAGAACTAAACCTAAGATAGAGACAGGACAAACAGAGAACACAAGAAGACCAAAAGAAAACATGGACCAACTGATATACAGACCGGGGTAGGGAACAGAGACAGAACTAACCAGGAAACAGGACAACACTCAACCAGGAACAGAACGGAAATAAGGAAAATACCAAAACACCACTAAACACTAGCTGACAGATAATAACTAGATGAATAATAATCCAGACTAAATAACAATAATAAGTAAACTCACAGTGAACTAAAGACCAAAATAACAGATATACTTAACTGACCAAAACTCACAGAGTGCAAAACTAAAACATGGCTGACAGGCAGAATGTGACAAACGGGCATTTTCACTGGTTTCTTTCATTTGATAGACTAAACAATTTTTGGATTAATCAAAAATTAAAAAGATAGATTTATTGATAATACATAAACTCTTTAGTTGCAGCCCTACTATCTTCTAAATCCATGATATTCTGTCTTTTTTTCAGACATTTCGGTGGCCCATTGCCAGCAGGCTGGATGGAAACGAGACGTTGGAGATCCAAGTGTACAATTACAGCAAAGTCTTTTCCAACAGGTAAAGTGTACCATTGCTCCCAGCTTGTCCTTAAATCACATTTGCCACACCAACAGCATTTCAGAGTAAACTGTTGGTGGTTTCAGTGCCCCTCCTGCCTTCCTGTCACAGCCTGTGACTAATTCAGACTGTCACATGGCGCAGGTTTCTCAGATCAAGGAGAAAAAGCTTGTATTCCCTGAGGGATTTTTCTAAATTGACTCAATTGTGTGTGTAACAGACTGCAAACAACAGAGCTGGTCATGAATGAGTTTCACATCAGTGGGGAAGTGGAGGTAATGAAACTGCATTAGATCCTCAGTAATGGGCACATTTGTCACTTTACAATCTCTAGACAGTCAGATCATGAAAAACACACAGAGTGCTTGAGTGCACGATGCAACTGGGATCACATGTTGAACGTGTCTTGTACTGTAATTATTTGCAGTACATGTGTTTGATATAATACTGGCTTGACAAGTGTATTGATGAGAATAGTTACAATTCATTTATTTTAATTACGAGCGATTTACAGTTCTTACATTGGTGACCAAAGTGCTCTTTAACAAAGCACTAATACCCAGACCTTCTCCAAGCGCCCTGCACAGCAGTCTAATTACTTCTAAGAAATTATTTGAGCAGATGCATTTGTGGAAACTACCTAATTGAAGATGGGGTAGGCAGTGTTGGAGAACCAGATTTTGAAAGTATCCAGCCAAAAGAATCACACCCCATCTCTTCCGGCCTCCCCCAAAAGCCACTCCCTAAAACACATTTTCATGCACAGTGAGTGCACGGGCAGAGTGCACACAGGTCGGCAAGTAGGTAGGTACGTCACAGATCTGTGGTCACAGAGACACAAATAGTTGATTCTTGAGCAGAGCATTTGATTTATTGATTAATGTTGTGATATAAAGAGAATTTCAACAACAACAAAAAAAATAACGCTTCGGAAATAAATTGCCCACCCCAGCTTTCATTAATTTCCCTCCACTCCGCATCCTCATCCTCTTTATCTTGGGTTTTTTTCCTTTGTAGCCCCTCAGGCTGATGTGTCCAGACCTGAAAAGATGCAGACTGGATGTGGCAGGAAGCCAGTCTATCTCCTGAGTCTGTAGCAAATCCAATCAAATGGTTACAGCTGCTGCGTTTAACTGGACAACTGGTTGATGTGTCCAGACTGAGGACACATTATGTCGCCTACGCAGTCATTAAAATTTAGTTTGCTCGTCTGTGTGTGTGTGGGTGGTAATGTATGTGTGCGTGTTACCACTGTCTTTATACTTTCTGTGTGACCTTATCTTGTCTGCTGTGTGTGAATGCAGTTGTGTGTGAATGTGTGCGCTGCAGGTTTCACTTACGAAGACGACTCAGAGTCAAAAGCCAATGACAGGTGTGCAGACAGATGTTGTATCAGTTCAACATCAAGTCAGCTCCTAACTGCTGTCATGTCATTGTGAGGAAGAGGAAAAGAGAAAGAACGAGAATGTCACAGCCACCCATGACGATTCACAGAAATTAATACATTTAATTTAATTTTCATCACTTTGGTTTATCTGCAAAACTAATTACATACTTTGTGTTTAGTACTAATTAGCCACTGTTAGCATGCTAACATGCTACAGTTGCTAACATGCTAATGTTTTGTGATGCTCCAACACAATCTCGTCCACAAAGCTCTGATTGGCCTAGTTGTTTTTCCATTTGTGAAAACTGCTGTCAAAAAACAACAGACCTACTTGAGTCACTGAAATCTTGGAGACATGGGCAACAGACTACAAGGTGACCTTTGATTGTCATCATTCTGCGGTGGCCAAACCCAAACATCGAGTGTTTAAGTCAGTTAAAACATATGTAAAGTACATTGCAGTTTTGAGCACAGTAAAGATGGATTCCAGTTTTCCATTGGCAACTGGAAATAGCAAGAAAAAGAAAGACAGAAAGGGAAAAACATGTATTACTATTTTTAAACCAGATGCTTTTAAACTTTTTCATCCACTCACAGCTTGCAAAGCCTTAAATGCGCTTGTGCACAAGCAGAAGACACACAAACTTTCATGCAAAGACACTTTCCCACACACATTAAGACACGCGCACACACACACACACACACACATAAACACAACCTGGCCCACATTTAAGTGGGTAAATAATTCAAGATGAGTCATAGCTTGTGTTCTTCTCACACCTGCTCCATATGTCCACAGGAAGCATCATTACCAGAGTAATTGATCTGCTTCATCACGGTCTGCACCAAGACACTGTAAGGCCAGTGTGTCGCACCATGCGATGACAGGTGCGATCACATTACCACAACACAAAGAGAAAGCAATAATGCATGATGGTCTCTGTGCTGTAGTGGCATATAGACCATGTTTTATTATTTGTTTTCCCCTGTGGCTGAGAGATGATAATCTGCACTGCACTGTGTGTGAGTTATTGAGCACTGGAGCAAAGAGGAGGTTATATGATTCAACCTGAGGTCAATGACTCCAAGTGTGTGTCCACTGAGGAATATCAGGGGGTCCTTGGAATTAGAATTTGAATTACTAATGGTATTTTTAATCCAATGTTTTACAGCAGGCTCAGTGTCTGATTAGCACTGTCACTGTATCACAAAAGCAAAAAAGTTTAACCTTGGTCAACTATAGCTGCAACACAACATCATCCGGCAAGGCACGGTGTTTATCAATCAATACGCGCAAGAGCACATTACCTGAGGATTACTTGAATGCTGTACTACAGGTAGAAGAAGAGTTAGAGTAGAATAGAAGTTTTATAAACCGCTGTGCGGGATTATGGTGTCTGATAAGCTATCAAACTCATAGATCTATTACTCTACCTGGACTTCCTGGATGTTATTTCACGTCTCACCGGTACCTGAATCACTGTAACCCCACAAACAACACTGTTGTTTAAACACAGAGTTGTTTTCGGTCTGAAGGTTGTCTGAGGATCTCAGGCTACATGTGGCTCATATGGGCATAAAAGCTCTACAGTGTAGCTAGGTGCTAGGTTATGAAATGACGTAAAAGTGAAATTATTTAAACATATAGGAATACAGATGGCTAAAATGGAGCTACCAGTGTGGTGGATAGGCTAAAATAGGGGTTATGTGTCTCTAAATTCAACTTAAGGGCCTAAATGGCTGCTGGATTTAGGACAGTCTGGGGCTTGAAAGCTTTCTGGTTAAAATACGCAAAGTAAACAATGTAATAGTCCAGGCATAATGAAATGAAAGGAAAGCCTAATTATGCTGGTACATCGCTCTCACGTAATGACAGAATATTTTTTATTAAAACATGCTGTGTGTCCCAGTTCAGCCATTAGCCCCCTGGGGATGTGGAAAAGTTTGAAATTCCCTGTTGTACATGATTGTTTTAAGAATTATAAATTAGAATGTCTTACATTGATTTACACATGTATTGTAACACTATTTATCACAAAAGGTTATATCACAGCAGCTTCTACGTACAAAGCTCAGATTGTTTACTGCAGCGGAATAAAATTTCCACTTGTGCCTTTACCAGATAAGTACAAGACTGACTGCAATAATGTCATTTGGTTGAGACATCATAGCACCTCATCATAATAATAATTCTGTGTTTTATTTATGTAATATTGTGTAATTCTTATCAGGATGGCTCCAAAGAAACAGCCCATTGTAACAGGATAAAATCTTTGACCAACAGCTATTTTTTTTTAAATAGGTCACAAAATGTTATCCAGCTGTAGTCACAATTCTCGGGTGTAATTGTAAGCAATATCAGATGAGAGGAAAATGAGGTGTTGGCGATGTAGCTCGCTGATTGTTTGCAACACCGGTCGCGCAGCCGAAGATTATTATTATCAAACAAAATGAGAATGAATTAACATCCAACTGTTAGTGGTGCTATCTGAACATCAACCCTGAATACTAAAAACTTTTGTCTGTTCTGCCCCTTGCTCTGCAGACACAAACACTGATCAATCAGAAAGAACAATATGTGTTCTAAAAATCTAGTGGTCTGTGTATAAGCCCTGTGTTCGTCTTTGAAAAATAGATGAAACTCTGCAACACTTTTGAACTATTTTCTCTGTTGTGTTGAGAGTAAGCATACAGTTTCTATATGTTAGACCTTATGATTTTTTGCCTGTTTTATCTTTAGAATGGGATTTAGTTTTATGGAAAGCAGTTTCGTCAGAAGTGAGATAAGACTGTTTACAATTCAAATGGCTGCTCTCTGCTCAAAGGAATCTTCCTTGTTCTTTCTCTTCTCCTGATTTCAGCACTAAATCAAATCATCTCATTTCCATTTATTTTATTCCCTTCTTGAGTTTCTGTTTATCTTCGTTATTTTTCTTTGTACCAACCAACTGGGCTTTTCTGACTTCAAAAGTATGCAATCCCTCCAAGCTGTACACATTGAGACTCAACAATTTATTGCTTGGTCTTAAATTGCAAGCTTATAAACAAAAACCTCATACTCTGTTGAATTTTATGTTGGCTTCCTCATGCCTGAAGCATTGTAATAAACTCTGTGATTTTGTACCTTTTGAAATGTTCTATTTCACCAGAAGCATAAACACGTTTTTGTGATTATTTAGACCCTAATCAGAATCAGAAATATTTTATTGATCCCTGAGGGAAACTTATTCATAATTGTTCACATTCAAATTAATGTAATTAAGGAATAGAAGAATAATAGAAAGATGAAGAACAATAAATAAATAAATATAAAAAATAGAAATATAAAATAAAGAAAAAATAAAAAGATAAAAAGTGTGGATATTTACAAGATTTTCATTATTAACATAATTGTAATGATAAACAGTAGATTCACTGACATTTAGCAGTGCTCGCAGCCAGGTTCTAGGGAAGGTAAAGTCGGTCAGCCCACCACTCCAGACTGAGATATCTCGACAACTGCTGGATAGATTGCCATGAAATTTTGGTACAGACATTGATGTCGCCAAGAAAAAGTACTTCTTAAACGACGCATCGATGAATCGTTTAAATAATCTATCGAAGCTTCAAATACTAAAATAATTGTTAGCTGCAGCCCTACATGTTTGTATCAGTGTGGTTCCTGCAGTCTGGGGCAGTGCTTGGCAAAGGGTTGCTGTCCTCCAGCTGAGCTACCAGCAGCTGTGGTAAATTAGTGCAACCTTAAGAACAACTCTGTTTGACTTGTAAAAATATTCTACATTTTACAGTTGTGCTCTTCTCGAATTCACCTAAGCCAGTGATTTCGTCACTGTTACAGTCGATTTACAAAAGAAACTTGAAAGAAAAAATAACATACAAATGGAAAGGGAAGGGAGCTCTGAATTATAGAGCAGATGAAAGTAAATTGTTTGCAGAACAATCAATAATGAATGGCACCTTTTGAAGTGCTACAAAGTGAGCCAGAACATGATAGGCCCTGCTCAGTTAAATTATTCAGCGCTTGTACACATGTTACAATGGCTGAAAGAAAATGACAGACCATTTGCTTTTCTAAGTAGCCCTGGACATATTGATCACCACTGTCTACAGACGGAAAGAGTGGATTATACTGCGGTGGGTTAGTATTTTCAGTGATTATGCTCAGTGTTGCAGAAGTTTCTATTGTTTCTAATCTTCAAAGAAAAAGTTTACTGCACAAAACCATTATTATCCTCACACACTTTGTTATAGAGTCATGTCAAGACTGTAAAATTGAGCATGGAGTTATTCAGTGGGGAGCCTGGCAGATAGCACCTTCACAATAAGAAGCATCTGCGGCAAGTGCCTGAGGGGAGGCACATACTTTTTTTTTGTATAACTGGGATTCAAAGTGAACTCAAGTTCTGGAAGTCCAAATTTACCTCATTATTAAGTTTTGAAGCTCAGCTGACAAATGTAGAATCACTTTTCACTGCAAGCTGAATTCATAACCACCACCTCTAGAGTACCGAAAAAAGTATAGGTGAGAACAGAGAGGAGAGAGAGAGACACTAGAAATGGATTTCCTGAAGAAAATGTGTGTGAGAGCTTGCAAGCTGCAGCTGCTTGACCAACAATGATGCTTGTGGGAATTTAGTCGAATCAACCACTTATTAAAGTAGTGATATGAGGAGCACTGCCAGAGATCAAACTGGGGATCTTATGATCTGACACAAAATCCTGATTAGGAGAACAGTACTTACTACTGAGCCGTCAGGTATTCCAAAAAAAAAACACAAGATAAGTTCACATTTTCTGGAGAAGTTTGCTTCAAAAAGAGCTTGTAACTCTATGCTTTTTGCAGGACTAATGGCAGCATGAGGATATCTGGTATTTCATGGTTACAAAGTGTTAAAATTAAGGGAGAATCTGTTGCCGAAGAAAGGGGAGGGGAAAGATTAGACCAGCAGTTATGAAGTAGAAGACCACGTGAGCAATAGTGGACACAATGTTTGAATATGGTAAGACACGAAGTTGTAAACCATGTGCATGTGTGGAAAGTTCATTCCTCGCTGACAAAGGCAGTGAATGGGAACTTGGGCAATCAGTTAGCGGCAAATATCACACACCGGTGTGAGCCAGAAAGTCTAGTGGAAGCTGGAAGTTGTGTCCAATCACAGGGGCTTGATGTGAATACAGAACCCAGGCCAGGGAACAGTGCTAACCACTGAGCCTTTCACGTATCCCATATCAACAAAGTTCACATTTTCCTGAGGACAAATTAATCAACCCAGAAGTGAAGCTTCTGGACGAAAATGTTCACGCTATCAGCTGCAGCAAGAGCAGTTAAGCATGTAAATTCCAATCCTCACAATTAGTCTGGGGAGAGGGAAAGAATAATAGCAGGTTATAAACAGCAGACTCTTTATTTGCTCACTGATAAGGACCTACTGGCTGTGTTGTTATTCTTTGGTTATATATTTAGTAAGATAGTATTTGTTAGTTTTTCATGCTGAGGTGCAAGTGTGCTTGTGTACAGTACAGGAAGTGTGTGTTTGTGTTTACTGTGCTCATTCACTCTCGCCTGACTGTCAATTTCTATACTCCTGTTGGGGAGCTCACATCGTTAGCTGCGATCCCTGCGGATCTCTTCTGTGTGTGTGTGTGTGTGTGTGTGTGCCAAGTGGTAAGCTATTGACCGTATGCCCTTGTTTTGTGATATTATCTTTCTCTCAGATCCAGCAAAGTGATTGTGTGTCTGTTCTTCTTAATGATTGTCTTGTTGTTCCTTTTTTCCCCAAGTATTTTGTATGTAGCCTATATATTATTAAGTGGAAAACACAGCTGTATTTGCAATCCATTGTACCAGGTTGTTTTTGTGTGCGTGTGTGTGTATAAATAGAGCTAAACACCATTATAGTAGAAATGGCATATGGCTGTGGTTCAGTGTGGCCTGCGCTGCATGTTCTTTGTGTGTGACTGATTGCTCTACCAACAACACACTGTTTTGGGGGAAACTCATTAAATTATTCACCAACTCTAATTTGCTAGCTGAATGGGGACTGTACTGGGCTTCTTCCCACTGTTATGTTCTATGAAGGATCCTTGGGCAGCATAGAAATGTGCCTTATGTCTAATGATCTTACATGTAATGACAACAATCAAAGAGTCATTTCCTGTTGTGTTCTTTGAGGAAATATTAAAGAGAGGGACTGGCTTTCATTTTATCTTTGTTATCTTCTGCCACAATTTTTTGATTAAGATTGTCTATTTAAGCGTCTCTTGAAGCACATATCCATTTTTCTTGAATTATGTTTTTTTGTGTGTATAATGCCACATAGAATATAGTACTGAAGTCTGTCCTGTAGTGTCAGTTGTGTTTCTGTTTCAAGTTCAGGTGATGTTCAAGCTCTCAGGTTCAGGTGATGTTCAGGTCAACTGGTCTAACTGGAGCACAGCAAAAGCGACAGTGTCCGTTGCTGTAACCATGATAATGAAGGTCCCCCTAACCTTAACAAAGTTCAATTCAATTCAATTCAATTCAATTTTATTTATATAGCGCCAAATCACAACAACAGTTATCTCACAGCGCTTTTCATAAAAGAGCAGGTCTAGACCGTACTCTGTGATGTTATTTACAGAAGCCCAACAGTTCCCACCAAGAGCAAGCACTAGGCGACAGAGGCAAGGAAAAACTTCCTTTTAAGAGGCAGAAACCTCGAGCAGAACCATGGCTCAGGGTGGGCGGCCATCTGCCTCGGGGTGAGAGAGAGAGAGAGAGAGAGAGAGAGAGAGAGAGATGTAAGGAGAGAGAGAGAGAGAGATGTAAGGAGAGAGATGTAAGGAGAGAGAGGGGAGGGAGATGTAAGGAGAGAGAGGGGAGGGAGGCAGCCTACACAATATACACACACAGTAAAGGTGATGTTGCTATAGACTAAATGAAAAATGGTACAGATATTTATAATAGTGTTAATGGTAACCATCGTAATGTTAATGATTATAATAACAATAATAACAATAAGACTAGCAACAGTAGTCGTTGCAGTAGAGGGTGTCGAGCAGGAACACAGGGGCAGCAGGTGACCCGCAGCCACAGATCCAGACTCCACAGCTCCAGAGCCAGAAAACCTGCAGGAAGTGATAGGAGAGAGGAGAGAGACAAGAAAGCACAAGACTACCAGAAAGGGGAGAAGTTGTGTTAGTAACATGCAATAATGGGATAAGGTTGCATACAGAGGGAGAGAAAGTAGAGGAGAGAGGAGCTCAGTGCATCATGGGAAATCCCCCGGCAGTCTAGGCCTATAGCAGCATAACTAAGGGATGGTTCAGGACTACCTGAGCCAGCCCTAACTATAAGCTTTATCAAAGAGGAAAGTCTTAAGCCTACTCTTAAATGTGGAGATGGTGTCTGCCTCCTGAACCCAAACTGGAACCTGGTTCCACAGGAGAGGAGCTTGATAGCTGAACGCTCTGGCTCCTAGTCTACAGTATATATTTTAACAATGATGTTCCCCTAAACCTAACCAAATTGTTTTTGTGTCTAACCCTAACAAAACCTGATAACCATACTGTTGTCGCACTGTGAAAGACATTTCTTTGTCACGTTTTTGGACGGATCAGACAGATGGTGTCGTCCTACCGACAGGGGCGTTACAGATCAGAAAACACTTTAATGTGTGTTCTAGAGGGACTGGACAAACAACATATTCTGCTGTTTAATTCGAAGGATTTATTGTTCTGTGTGGAATGTAGCGATCAGAAAGATTCCCAAGTTTAGGGCTTGCTTAGCTCGCGTCATTGGATAACTCAAGACAGTTTTACGATTGCAGAATTGGTTACGTGAATGTTGAAAATACTATGTACCTATCTATATATCAGAGATATCAGAGTTTTGTTTTCAGGCACTTCTGTATAATTGGAGCGTTCAGCGATTTTACTTATAAAATCATTAATTCAACCATGAGGTTTTACAGAAAAAAAACACTTTCAAACATGTTCGTCTTTCAGCTTAAATCTAGTTAATTTAGTCATCTAAGTTTGTAAAAATGTTTCCTTTTAATGTAAATTTAGAAAGGGGCTAAAAAAAAATTTTCTTCTAAATTTGAGAAACAAAGGATAAAAACACCATGTAATGATGAAATTTCTGTTGGTTTTCCTGCAGACTGGTGGGGACTTTCAGCATGGTACTTCAGAAGGTGGCTGAAGAAGGACACCTAGAGCTCACCGATACACTCATCGATGATAACAACACATCCATAAAGGTAAAGCTAAGCACTGCTCTCACATTGGAATGTCAACAATCTACAAGGCTTATACGTATAGATTGCTGATACATATTGAGAGCCACATAAGGAGTAATGCAAGTACTGTTTTGCAGTTTATTTGCCCCAAACAACCAAAATACCAAAATGTTAACTGTAGCTAGTTAGCTGAGTGTGTCTGTGTTACAGCTGGTCTTTTTTTATTCAAAAGGTTCAATGGTATATTAATTATAAGAGCAACATGCTTATTTTGTTTGCCTGTTGCCATTTGTTCTCTTAACCAGTGCAAAATTGAGAGCCTGGAGCAAAGGGCAATGTCTTTAAGCGTTTTCAACTTGTGCAGAGTAGGCGTGTATTTGCTTCAGTTTGCATCACCCAGAGCGAATTTGCATCCACCTCTGTCTTTGCTTTGACTTAGTATGCAATCACCTTGCCTCTAAGACTGGTTTCACATTGAGTCTAAACATGACTTCAAGCTGCACTAATCAGTACCAAGCTTTATAGCATCTTTCAGCTCATTGTTTTTGTTTTATGGCCTGAAACTTCACTGTGTGGGTTCACTCTCATTCGTTTCACCACCATCATTTTCAACTGCAGCAGGCAGCTGTTTTTGGAGAAAAAAGTTCTGATAAACACACTGTACACCACCTGTCCAGAAAAAAAATCTGACAACATTTGCTTACTAGTAGTGAATGTGGGACAAGTCCAAATGAATGCTATGTTTCTATTTATCTGCTGGATGCAAGTAGGGGTTAAGTATCTTACTCATGGATACATCGGTGTCTCACAGTGGATTTGAACCTGGGTCTCTCATACCAAAAGCATGTGTCTTATCCATTGTGCCATCACCACCCCTCATGTGTTGATGCGTTGCTGCGTTAATGCAGGTTGAACAGCTGCCATAGGTTACCTGCACATGCAAAATGAGGAATAAACACCATTTACATGAAGCCTCTTCAACCCGACTGAACCCGTCAAAACAAACTCATGCTCTATAGGCAAAGAACTATATTTAAAATTCAAGTGGAGATTCATATGTTTTCCAAAATACCAAAGATGTCAGGTTGAAATTGGGGAAATGTTGCACAAGACATCTAGCATACGTTAAATATGGGGCAGCCATAAAAAACAATGAGTTTGAACAAGGTGGTTTTTCCCCAAAAAACTGCTTACAAAATAAGTGGCTTCTCGTGAACACACAGCAAAGTATACACACACACAATTAAGATAATTTCAGCACTGTACATCCCTGCAGGAAGAAACTGGTGAAATTCAATCCAACATCACCTGTGAGCAACACTTTTGGCTACAACTGCACCGGTGTGGTTGCCATAGTGACAAATCTAACTCCTCGTGGACTACAGTGATTGTCTTGCGAGGATGTGAGAAAGAGAAAGCAACTAGAGAGAGAGAGAGAGAGAGAGAGAGAGAGAGAGATGGAGGGAGAAAGGTGAATGAGAGCCTCGTGTAGATTTTCTCCTCATCTGTCTTTGTCAGTAGAATAAATTGGCCACTCTGTAATAAAGATGAGGTCATTGTCAGGAGGATCATATTTGTCCAAACACTAGTCCCCAGAAGACACCAAAGACAAACTACAGTGTCACCATTGTTTTTGGCTTGGATTAAACTAACACTTACTGTCGATCTGAATTCCCCCAGCAAATGCCAGGGAGAAGAGAAGATTTATAGTCCTGTTAAAGTTTCAAACCGATGCTGAGAGCTTTTTCTAAACACAATTAAATGGATTGCTATAGATAAACCAAGACTGAGCCTAAATGTGTTGACTGTAATTTCACTGGACTCTTTCACTACAGGTTTGGATTGGATTATAATGTCACTGTGCCACATTGGATACGGTGGAATATTACATGTGTGTCGAGTTTAGCAATTACAATTACTTTAAAACTTTTTAAATTTTCTGATGTGCGAAAGTCGTTTTATACAATAAGAAGCAATATGCAGGGACAAAATTAGTTAAGCAGAATACCAGTAAAACATTGATAACCTAAAGGTCCATTGTGTAATATTTAGGAGGATCTACTGACAGAAATGCAATAAAATATCCATAACTATGTTTTCAGTGCTGTATAAAGACCTTACATAATGAACCGTTTCTGCAGTAGCCCAAATGGACAAATGGCGCTACAGAGTGCATTTCGTTACTACGTTGAAGAAGAACAACAAGTAAAATTAGTAGTAATAGTAGTAGAAGTCCACTGGTTTATTAGAAATAAGGAAAGAAGAGAAATTTGGACAAATTGAGAGCAGACAGAACGTGTCGGCCACCGTAACTTAAATCCTGCACTTTTGGAGTGGAAGGGGTGAGTGATGGTGCATTCATGTGGTGTCAGAATAATCAAAATCCTTTTCTCCTCCTTAAATCTTTATTGCAAAAAGAGAAATAAAGTGTACATTAGACATGTACAAGAAGTATACAGAACTTTGACTTGTGTAAAATCATGTATTGCATATACATATTTTTGCAAACATGTAATTTGTAATAGGGTTTTAACATGTAGTTAATGTAAATATAGATTGAGCTTGATGTCTGCGTGTTGTTTATACGCTCTGATAATGCTAATCCAATACATCTTTGTAGCCGCGTCCACGTTGATTCCACATTCCGACTTAAGAGCACATGAACAAACACCGAAGTTGGCAGATGCTGCATGGGAAACTCAGCCTCAGCTGTAAGTGGTGTTTGGTCATAAACTAAAGTATTGGACCAGATGATGGTGCAGGAGGGAAAGAGGGGTTACTACGATTAACGATTAATCCTTGATTCATTTAAAACCCTAAAGTCAACCTTACGGAGGCGCTAGAGGAAAGGTCAGAGGATTGCCACATTCAGTAGGTTTCTCTGGGATTTATGTACGTGATTTAAATCCATCCAATAGTTAGTGGTGTATTTCCGTCTGAACCAAAGTAGTGAGCCGACCAACAAACCAACATTGCCATCCCTAGCGGCCGCTGCTGCATGGCAAAAAATCTAAATTTTAAGAAATAGGAATACATTTTTATATGATTTGGCAAGCCTTTGCTCCTCAGGCCTTAAAGCAACTCAAAATGATCTTGACAGCTGAGGGAGCTGATATTAGTAAGGGACAATAATTGTGCCTTCAGTTTTGGCATTGTAGGAGTTTCTAGATTAGACATGTCATAAAGTCATTGGATTTGATTTGGTACAGAAATGACAGACACAAGAGAAGCAGCTGAGAGCTGAAATAATCAGATCTACTGAGAGAACAGTTTGGCACTTTCTTATTATTAAAATGTTTTTGATGCATTGAGATGAAATTGTCTTTCCTCTAAATGCTTTGAGGTTAAAGAACTGCACAGTGGCCTATGGAAGTGAAGGTTTATTAACTATCTGCTGATTAATATAAGCACATGTTCATCTGCTTTCAGACCAGCGTTACTATAGAGATCAGATACCACTCAATGGATGGGACAGTGGGAGTGTGGAGCGATGGGGAGTTCCTGGATGTTCCTGATGACCGTGACGGGATGTTTGCCTTTGAAACAGACAGCTTGCTGTCAGGACAAAGCCATGGGTCAGGGACGTCTCCGGGACGATCCTTACAGGGATCCATACCGACCTTCAGGAAGTGAGTCAAACATACAAACCTTCTCCATACGTCAATGATAACTCAATTACATTATGTTACAGTGGATCAGCCTGTTAATTTGACTATTGAATTTGACTGAATATTAATTCAATGACTCTCTACAGCAGCAAACAAGATATGTTGTTTAAAATATGTACTTTTTTTTAAAGAGATCATCAACATTACTATTGGGGCACACATGTGTGAGAAAATAACTTGAATGTATTTAAGGTGGACAGATGGATCCAGCATTCACACAGTGATGAGGCTTTATACTGTCCAGCTGATGCAGCATCTGTCACTGTTATGGAGGGGAACATGAAGAGATCCTGTGCTTAATAACAGTGGGTAGACCCACCAAAGAATGTGGTGGCCAGACACTAATGCCCACAAATCCACAGTTAAGAGCAGAGTTTTGCAAAATCATCTATGATCCGTTATAGGAATCTACAATCAAAGAATATATTCTTTAAACATGTTAGTATAAGATGCAGACGTGGCCATAGTTACAGTGTTTATGCAAACCTACAGTTAAGTAATCAGAGCAGTTGGAAGAGGGTTTTGAGTTAGATATAGTATAGTATAGTTTTAGATATTTGCAAAAACATGTTTTGACTATCTGTTCTCATGATTATCTCATAAAATAGATTTGAATTTGAGTGCATACTTAATTTAAAGGAGAACTCCACCAATTTTACACATCAAAGTCTGTTTACAGGTGTTCGGGAGAAGTACTGCATTTGTGAAGAATAGTTTTACAAAGAGATTTGTGGCTTCAGGGGAGCTGTGTGATGTTACTTGAGTCAGTGTCAGTTGGGGCTGAAGCCTTCAAGTTGAAAAAACTGGGGGTGTGAAGTTAGAAAGAAGTGATCTTACCAGACTTCTGTAGCCCGCTCCTCGTCTCTTCTTGAGGCTAGCGGCTCGAGGGTACATTAGCTGTTACTATAATAGCACACCCAAATCACCGACTGAACTGTCAGTGGTTGAGTTGCATTGTGGCTAATGTGGGCGCCAGGTTTTGACAAAGAGGGCAAATTTGTGGAATAAAAATATCTCTGGTGCTGCTGAGTCGGTTGTACAGAGATTAACATGCAGATGTGTTCGAGCATAGTTGATATCAACGTCGACATTATGAGTTCCACGATTTAATGTTCAAAAAACACCATATTTTTCTCATACTGCACATTGCTGCAGCTCCTCTTTTCACCATGCGTGTTGTACACTCCGCTCTTGAGCTACAGAGTGATGCATCTTACTTGTACAAAATCTTTGTTGGGAGTTGCACATGCAGAAGCAGAGAAGGGCAGGTCGTAAGAAACAAGGTAGTGTGATCCAAATCAAAGCCGCTTCAGACTATGACCGTAACCTTGCAGATGGCATAAGTTACTCACAAGTCCACAACCACACATCATCATTGTTCCACATCTTACCATAAACCGCTACAAAAATCACCATATTTCAACTCAATTTTACATAAAATTGGCCAAACAATTTGAACATTTGCTCAGTAGCTTTCACATCAGGTGTACCATTAGCATTATAGCTATAACTTTAGCTGTGTTAGCCAACGTTTAAAACAACTCCGCACTTGAACAGTCTGTGAAGTTACATTGCCGTGTTTATTTTAAATATAATTCACAACCAATAAAGCATACTTACAGGTTGTGATTGTGAATTTCCAGGCCCAAACAGAGTCGCATCGTCTTTTAGGACTAAACGTTGAACTGTTGCCGGTGTTCTGACGATCTATGCTGCCTTGCCGAAAAATGCTACCATAGTGCAAATCGATAGACTCGACTCTACTCGGCCCTGCTCCGTTTTCCATTACAGATAGTACCCAGAGATAGTATGTAGCTTGTCGTCATAGCGACGCCACACACAACTGCCGCAACGTAATGTTCAATGCGACACACACACCAGCGATCCACACAGCTTTCTCTTTTTTAAATTAAAACATTTCAACATTCCTCAAAATATAAAGACAGATAAGCGGTATGAAAACCTTGTCAATATTCGAAATCTACATAGCTGATATTTCACCTCAAAACTTCTCAGAAGTGGATTTAGTGATGAAATACCATATGAAAACTGTAAAATATAAAACTTTCTGTTGCTGGCCTCTGTCTGGTGCAGCAATGATGATGCAGTGAATAGTGAATATTCTCTCTGACCAATCAGCAGTCTGTCATGTTTTCACATTACATTTTAGTATCCCTCAGCTCGCTTGGAACCTCAACCGAGGTGAGGTGATATCAAAAAAAGTACCTGGAAGCAGGTACAGGTACAACATTTCTACAATGGAAAACCAACCAGCTTGGTTTGAGGGCGTGCCTGACGCTTGGCAAGCTTTATGACGCGTTTTCATTGTGACGTCACAGTGAAGGAAGGGAAACGGTTGGACTACAAATGAGCTGTTTTCAAGCAGTTCAGAGCAGAGCTTTCTGTGGGAGATGGGAACTCCCTTTGGGCTGGACTTTGGGCTTTTTCACTTTGCAAACCAGTTACATGCACAAAAAAGAGAGATAACTCAATAAAGGAGAGGGAAAAAGCATAATACCACCTCTTTAACGTCATGCCGTCTTTCAAAGAGGCAGCGTTGAAGGAATCGAAAGAGACTTTTTACTTGGAGTTGAAAATAATATGGTGGGATTTTAAAATGGATTTTAGAATTTAGAATGAAATGCATATGTAGTTTATAATAATAGAAAAAAATTCCAGTCTGCACAAGGTTATATAGATTTAGTATGAAAAACTATAAGACACTCTGGCTCTGTGGTCTTCCTCCTTGGTTAACATGTTTTTGCTGAATAGTATGTGAAGTAATCTGTGGGTGGTATTGATTTCCACAGAGACTGTAAAGCGAGACCCCTAAGTCCATTATTATACTGCATGTTGAATGGCATGTGAAGAATTGTGTATCTGTGAGGCTGAATGATGTCATGTTTGTGTTTTTGTTTGTTGATACTGAATGCCTAAGTTGTACTGTCTTGCAGCATAAAATTAAAAACTGATCAGGGTCTGTCGATGTGAGATTCCAAGCAGCCTGAGGAAAACAAGAAAAGTTGACTAATCTAAGTTTTAGAGCATCCCACGGGTGTTATATAACAGTATTTGGATTTGGTCGACTAAGAGAAAAGAAAGTTGCTGTTGAGAAATACTGTAAAGAGGTCCAATAAAAGTAGGGTGAAAGTAGTTGCCAAACTCTTGGAGCTAGAACTTATATTCAGCAAACGGTATGTCAGATTATTATTTATCCTGTACCTCTAGCACAGTCATTTACATTTCCTCACCTTTCTTCAGGTGAACAAGCGCTCCGCCCTGAGCTGTTTGATGAGGGCACCTTTCATCAAGTTCCCCTGGTTGCAAAGAGCTGTCAGTCAGACTTTGTTAAGGGCTACGGTAGGGCTTTTGTCTGAAAAAAGAAAAAAGTGAATGAGTTGCTGAGAAAATACCAATAACTTCTTGCCTAGCCAACAAATCCACCTCTAATCTGCCTCACACCAGTGTTGGCCAGACTGACAGGCTTGTGGGAAAATTTTTAATAGCCTTGCCACTTCTCATCCAAACCATTTATATCCTGAACGGCCAGCTGCTCACTTTATCTTTGGTTGAGAGGTTTCATTGTGTCCTGAATTTTGACACTCTACAGCCAGTAGTAATTGTTGTTACCCTTGTAATGAAGTGTTTATGTGCAGGAAATAATAATCGGGGATGACTCTCACGTTTCTCTAGGGCAGAGGAGGAGGAGGGAAAAGAGGAGCAGAATGTAATAAACAGATTAGCCTCAAGGTACATTTCCTACATGATTCCTGTTTGCCTGACATTCCCACCTATTGGTTAGAGGTTTTTTGCGTCTGTTTTAACTCCTCTTTCACGCAGATACATTATTTACAGAAATGCTACCTCATCAGTAATACTTTTCTAAAAGTCAAATTCATTTGACAACATCATGGAGAGGTAAGTGTCCCTCCCAGTCATTACGATAATATCAGAACTCTTTCTGAGACTTAAAACTTAATGAGAACAGGAGCTATATTGTACTTCTAAAACACTTGAGAGACATTCAAACACAAACTCCTCTATTATGGATTATTCCCATGCAGTATCACGACTGCTCTGAGTTTACTCATGAATGCAGAGTAGAAAAACAAATAGGAGAAATGTGTCTACATGGTACACCGAGCTCCACCCACTGCTGTCTATTTCTGTTATATCACCTGCAGCCTAAAGGTCATGTATGCTGCTTACAGGAGACTTTGTACTCATTGCAATTTTCAGTGAGCATCAAATTTCATTCCAACTGTACAGGATGACTGCATTAGAGTGTGGGTAGCTTGTTAAGGCATATTGGTTCCTCCTCATCCACTTAATTGAGTGAAATTGCACCTGAAGTTGACCATCCCACTCCTACCACCTCTCAGTTCTGCAGCCTCTGTCTCGCTGCACATCGTCTCTGAGCCTGCAGGATCATGGCGATGCCCATGAAGCATTTTGTGGTATCTGCTGCACCACAATGATGCAGGGGATTTGTTATTCCTAATAAATAAATCACCTCCTGCGTGGTTTTACTGCCAGTGAAGCAGATCTGCTGAATAGTGCATGCAGAGGTACACATGTGCCAGACATGAAGAGAATGGATTTAAGGCTCCAATTGTCATTTGATCTGCAGACATCAAACAATGAGATTAATTGGGGTTGCACATTGGAGTATAATCATGCTTGAACACTGTCGCAAAGGGACACAGGACTTCTTTTTCTTGTAAAAACAATTCATAAATTAATCGGCATTACCCACAGTGAAACATATTGCTGTAAGTAATCATTGTGTTTATTCACACCATTTAAATATGCATGATTAATTTGCATAACATCAGATCTGCACTCAAAGGAGACAGTTCAGCCTGAGCAAAGCTTCCATTGAAAGGATCACTTACTGAATCAAGTGTTGATTTATTTATTGTTACTTTTTGCCAGGTGTGTGATTCATTTATCCTTCAGTG